AGAACTTCAGGACTTCCAGAAGGAACCCACCACTCTGTAAGATTGTGTGCATGATTGAGATTAACTTTGCAAACTAGCTTATCTCACAGATATATTTGCTCACCAAAAAAATTTACATTTTTCCTTTCAAGGCAAGCTTATGAAAATAGACCACGAGCAAATTCATGAAAAATAGGATATGGTGTACATGCCATGATCTTGTGGCGTTAGGTTCTTTTTGTTATCTAAATTACCTGGCTATTGTTTGGATTCTGAGATTACCAATCATGTCATTTCCTTCTGTATGTTCTGCATGTATATTTACTTTGTGTCCTGTGACTTGCTACACCCACTTAATAGTTCTAGTTTATTTTTCATAGATTCTACAGGACTTTCTACGTAGATGATCCTATTGTCTGAAGACAGTTTTATTTCTTCCTTTCCAATCTTTCTTTTTCTCATCTTATTGCCCTTGTAGGATTTCCAGCATGGTGTTGAATAGAAGTGATAGCAGACTTGTTCCCAGTCTTAGGGGGCAAGTATTCAGACTTTCACCATAAGAATAATCTGAACAGAAGTTTTTCATAGATTTCTTTGTTTGTATTATCTATTTTAATTTCCCCACTAAGTTTGGTGTTTGGGTAGAATTGTCCCCATTTACAGATGAGAATACTGAGGCACAAAAAATTATATAAATTGCCAACAATCGTACAGCTAGCAAGAGGCAGTCAAGGCTAATGCCAGTGTAGTTTCAAAGTACACCAGTGTTCTATTTTGTCCAGCGCCTGGTGCTTTATTCGATTTAAATCATTCCTTTAGTAAACAATTATTGAGCTCATACCATGTGCTATGCTTGAAAAAAATGCAAAGCACTGAACGAAAGTTATTTATTTGTTTAGTAAGCTTTAAAACTGAGATGTTACCCATGTTGTCTTTTAAGGTTTGCAGGCGGTTTTGTATAGGTTACTTAGAAAGACAAGAGGAAGTCACTTTACCAATGAAAGTAATGTTTCATCAGGATAGCATATCCCATTAAGCATCAAAGGATGCTGAGTTTTAGTTCTTAAAGCATGAGTGTGTGTCTCCAGAGATAATTTGGGACAACAACTGTATATTTGATAGCTCTATTTATCTGTACTGAAGAACACATTAATTCCACTTTAAATATAGGTTGTTTGTTGTTTTTATGTGACAGCACCATTGGTTTGGTTATTGCCATTGTCTTTAAGCATTATATCAGAGAATGTCTTTCATTTCTGATTTTATTGGGAGCTAATTTATTCAAATTTTGAGTGTTTCAGATAAGGACATTTTATTTTTAGGTTTAGTTCCTTTTTATCTTTGTACATATGTTCTAATTCATTCATTCTAAATTGAGGGATAATTTGCAATGTGAAAGTCAGCTTGTTTTTCTTCTTCAGTTTATGAATAAATATGAAGAGGAAGATGAAGATTATAGAAAGGGAAATCACAGAATGTTAAGACTCAAAGAGACCATGACGGTCACCATATTATTTTACAGGTGAGGAAGTTGAGGCCCAGAAAACTTAAGCCACCTGTCTAATATTATACAGCTGCTGTCCATGTGGCGAAGCTGGGACTTAAACCCAGTTCTTATGTCTCCAAGGCCTGTAGTTTCTATTTCCACAGGCTGACAAACATCAGATGAGTGTTGAAATAGTTACTTTTAGGGTCCCTTTATGTTATTATAACATAACAAAATAATAATATTTTGTTATGTTATTCTATTATGTATACAATTTTATTATTCCTACACAAGCTAATATTTGAAGTATTTCATGCCAGTCTCCCTAAATAAACATTTCAAATTAAAAATAGTAGTTTAAAAAAAATTAAATATGGGCCAGTTGAATTTGAAACCCACCACTTTTGAAGAAAAATACTCAGAATTCATATATTTGCTGTAGTTAAACAGAACAATCTGGTATAACTGTGTTTTATAGGACCAGTGGTGCCCTTCTACCACCTGTTTCAGAAAGGTGGTAGATGATTTTCTGGCCTTGTTGGAGACTTTCACCTGAAGTGACCCCCCCCACGTCTGTCCCTAAACTAACAGCTCAACGTTCAGCCTTCTCAAGACACAAAATGAGCCTGAAAATATAAAAAAACAGATCATTGCTTTGAAATGTAAAGTATGCACTGCCAAAAAATGAAATATACATATTCAATTTTTGAAATCTCCATGATAATATGGTATCAAGCAACAAGACTACTTCCTCTTTCATAAAAAGTTAGTCTTCTTAGATGGTGATAGAAATTATTTTTGTTTCTATCAAATGCACTGTACTGTAGCCTCTTAGCCCACAGTTGTTTTCAACTAGTATTTTAGAATTAGCTGGTCATGCTTATTAGAAACACAGATTTCTGGCCCTAGCCCAGACTACTTTTCTAACTGGGGGCCTGGGAATTAGCATTTCAGCATACCCTCCTCCCTACTCCTAGGATGATTCTTACGTGCACTAAATTTGAATCACTGGCTTAGAAGACAGGAACTTTGTTCTTTTGTTGTTGTTGCTCAGGGCAGATTTATTTGTAAATGCCAACAACTGGAAAGAACCCGAACGTTCTTCAAAAGAGCAAACTGGGGCACATTCATACCATGGAGTACTATGTAGCATTAAAAAGGAATGGACTACTGATATGTGTGACAACTTGGATGATCTTGGAATGATCTCAAAGGAATTATGTTGAGTGAGAAAAGGTCAGTCTCAAAAGGTCACATACAAGATGAGTTCACTTATATAATGTTCTTGAAATAACCAAATTTTAGAGATGGGGAACAAATTAGTGGTTGCCAGGGGTTAGAGATGTGGGGATAGCAACAAAGGGACAGCACAACAGAGCCTTGTGGTGATGGAGCAGTTCTGTATCCTGGTTATGTTGGTGCACATCAATCTACATATGCAATAAAATCAAATAGCAACACACACACACACACACACAAGTGCATGTAAAACTGGTGAAATCTGAATAACCTCTGTGGATTGTCCCAGTGTCAACTTCTTAGTTGTGAATCATGAACCGTGTCCTTTTTAATCTTGGTTTGAACACCACTAAACAAACAGGGTGTTTCACACTGCGTTCTCTGGTGATGATAATGTAACATCTGCCCAGCCCCTGCTTCCCAACCCTTTATAGCTGGAGGTACTCAGCCTCTACTTACAAGCCAGTGCCCCACCTAGGTTTTTGGACCAATCTTATTCTTGTTTAGGGAGAATTTAGGAGCCATGAGTGAGTGTTTAAGGATCAGCATCAAAGATGATGGTGCTGTAACATCAACATCTGTTCTAGCCCCTCCCTCTTTTTCCATTTTTGGTAGCTTCAGGGACAAGAGAGGGTGGGCTCCGTAGGATATTCCTCCCCACTTGGTTAGTTGGTTCATTCCATGAAGCTTATCACTCGGCCTTCTGATTGACTCTTCCCTTCTTCCCCTCCAAACCTCCCCATAGCTCCACACAAAGGGGCTAGTTGGGCAGGATTTTAGGCTTGGGTAAGATTTATATCTATGCTTTGGTAAAAGAGTGATGCACAATTCATTTTACCCAAACAGACTGTTCCAGGTCTTCGAGCCGTCTGTAAATTTTATTTATTTATTTATTTTTGAGACAGAGTCTCGCTTTGTCGCCCAGGCTAGAGTGAGCGCTGTGGCATCAGCCTAGCTCACAGCAACCTCAAACTCCTGGGCTCAAGCAATCCTGCTGCCTCAGCCTCCCCAGTAGCTGGGACTACAGGCATGCGCCACCATGCTCGGCTAGTTTTTTATATATGTGTTTTTTACATGTCCAGATCATTTCTTTCTATTTATAGTGGAGGAGGGGTCTCGCTCTTGCTCAGGCTGGTTTCGAACTCCTGACCTCGAGCAATCCGCCCGCCTCGGCCTCCCAGAGTGCTAGGATTGCAGGCGTGAGCCACCGCGCCTGGCCTGTAAATTTTAATTATACTCTTTCCTGTAGCCTAATTGCCACTCAAATTTAAAATATGTCATTGACAAATCATCACCTCTAGGTTATGGCCAACTCACTTCTCAGACCAAATCCTTTGATGTTTAGGTCTCATATTTTAAAAGAAGAGAGATAGACACGAGAGGCCCCAAACCTAGCTCTTTTTGAGCTAGTGAAGGCACTCAGAGGAGGTCAGGGCTTCCTTTTCCTCTCAAGATCATTCCTCAAACCACTTTTCCCTTTAGTATCAAATATCTCGGCCAATTATCCATCTTTCTCAGCTTAGAAATTCTGACACAGGGAGCTTACTTGTATCTGTGACCCACCATCATGCCTTTTTGTGCCTGGAAGTGTGTGAAGGAACAGAATCCTTACCAGGAAGAAGACAGCCCTCTTTCCAGAGAATGACGTAAAATGTTTCTTT